CACACCTGGGGGTCTCTGTGCCCACCTGGGCACACCTGGGGGTCTCCGTGCCCACCTGGCGCTGTGCCCGTGTCCCCAGGGCCCCACCCCGCATGAGGGGCACCTGAAGGGCATGGGGGACACACCTGGGTGACACCTGGGGACATTGGGGACGTTGGGACACACCTTGGGGGGTATCTGTGCACACCTGGGGGTACCTGGGCACACCTGGGGGGTCTTGGGGTGCAGCTGGGAGTCTCTGGGCACACCTGGAGGGTTTCTGGGGATACCTGGGGGGTCTTGGAGCACACCTGGGGGTCTCTGTGCCCACCTGGCGCTGTGCCCGTGTCCCCAGGGCCCCACCCCGTGGCGCAGCACCTGGGCACCCTCGATGGCCGCTACGGCTCCGCCTTCCTGGACCCGCCCTGGCGGGAGCTGTTCGCCCGCAGCGAGCCCCCGGCCTGCGGTACGGCACAGCTGGCACACCTGGGAGGCAAGCCTGGGCACCAGGGGGACGTGTCTGTCACCTCCTGTCCCTGGTGTCATCTCCTGTCACCAGTGTCACCTGCTGGGGACACCCTGATGTGTTCCGGGGGGGGGTCCCGGGGGGTCCCAGGGTTTGGGGTGTCCCCTGGGTATCCCTGGGTGTCCCTGGGGTGTCGCGGTGCCACCCCCGTCCCCTGTCCCCATGTCCAGCTGTCCCCATGTCCCGGTGCCACCCCGGTGTCGCGGTGCCAGCGCTGTCCCCTGTCCCGGTGCCACCCGCTGTCCCTCTGTCCCGGTGTCGCGGTGCCACCCTCTGTCCCGCTGTCCCCTGTCCCGCTGTCCCCTGTCCCGCTGTCCCTCTGTCCCTCTGTCCCGGTGTCGCGGTGCCACCCTCTGTCCCGCTGTCCCCTGTCCCTCTGTCCCGCTGTCCTCTGTCCCCTGTCGCGGTGCCACCCCCGTCCCCTGTCCCCAGAGCCGTTCAGTGTCGCCGGGCGCATCCTGTCCTTCGTGGCGGGCGCGGGGGTGACGCTGGCGCTGCCGGTGGCCGAGGCCATGCTGACCTGCAGCGACAAGTTGTGAGTGACACCGGGGACACCGCGGGGACACCGCGGGGACACGGGGACGTCGGGGACACCGGGGACACGGGGGGGGTTGGGGGGACACGGGGACATCGGGAGGACACCGGGGGGATTGGGGACATCGGGGGGACTGGGGGGAGGACAGT